CGTTCATGGCCGACGCCCAGCCGAATTCCGCGCGGCCTGGCCGTCGACCCGCCCGGAAAGGTGAAGAAGAAGAAGGCCAAGGGTGCAAGGAAGCCGCGGGCGGAATGCACGTCGGAGGAGCTCGCCAAGTTGGACGCGGAATCGACGAAGAGGAGGAACCAGAGGGCGCCGTCAAGGGCAAGACCACCGCGGCCAAGTTCGCTGCCGAGCGCGATGTGATGGAGGTCGCGCGGCGCAAGGCCGAGGTCGAGGAGAAGGAGGCCATCGTCAACAAAGCGCACACCCTCCTCATGCTTGGCATTTGACGTCCGGCGGGTTTCTCTAATCGGCCATCGGCCCGGCGAGCACAGGCTCGTCGGTCGCCAAGCCTCCCCACTGTCAGTCACCGACGTCGCGGACCACGCCTATGTCGCCCGGCTTTCCCCCGCCAAGGCACGACGGCCAGACCCGTTTTTCGGGGTCGTCGGACGTTGGCGTGATCACGCCGTCCACACCGCGCCCCTCGGGCGTCATCGACCTCAACGTCACGCCGGGGTCCAGTAGCGGCGGCCGGCCGTCCGTCGAGATGCAAAGAAAGCAACCACGATCATCGTTTACGGGCACCATGTCGTCCCCCCGCGTACTGTTCGACGGAATGCCAACACCAACGCCAACGGTCGATGACCCCTTCTACAATCAGTTCATGGAGGATGTGATCTACGAGGGTCGGCATGGCGGTGCCTACGATCCCGAGGAGACCCAAAGTCAGGATGGCCGCGCCCAGTACATTGCCGATGAAGAGGCCCACGACCATGCTGACTACGACCATGGTGACTCGTGGCATGAAGACGATGACATCTATTGCGAAGGTGATGGTGATGAAGAAGAAGGCAATGACATTGATATTGGGGGCGAGCCATTGTTCATCGACGAGCTCACCCAAAAAGCGGAAGCACAAAAGAGGAGAAAGAGCATTCGCACGGGTACATATTCACAAGACGAGGACATGTTGATTTGCCAATGTTGGATGGAGATTAGCCAAGATCCGAGGACCAGCGCGCAACAAAAGGGCCTTGTTTTTTAGACGAGTGTCTATAAAACATTCCATGAAAGAAAGATGTTTGAGCCCTACCAAATTACGAGCGACCGTGGCATCACCTCGATTCAAAAGAGGTGGTTGTTCATCCAACAATAGTGCAACAAGTATTGTGCCGCACTTGAGTGGGTTGAAGCACGGCCCATGAGTGTTCTCGGCATTGGGGACATGGTATGCTCTCCTCATCCTAGTTCTTTGGTTGCTACGGCCACGAGACTTCGGCCTTGTACATGTTTGCATGTCAATTGTTGTTGATCATGTCGTGTAGGCATTTCAATCTTTGGAAGCATTCAAGGCCCGGCACAATGACAAGCCATTCACTCTTACGCATTATTGGGCGATCATCAACAATTGTCCTAAGTTCAAGGATCAATACCATGATTTTCAAAGAAAGAGAGGCAAGAAGACGGTCGCGTTGGCCGGAGGTGGAGATGGCGAGGCGTTGAAGAGGCCGAGGGGCAAGACTAACTCCAAGGTGGACGACATACGTGATGCCTCATCTATGGCCTTGCATGAGGCTTTGCATGGCATGATGTCTCAAAAGGATGTGAGGGACGAGAAGAAGCGACAAAGCAAGGACAAGCAAATGAAGCAATACCTAGAGTTTCAAAGGAAGAAGGTTGAGATGAAGGAGGCGACCAAGAAGAGGAAGATCGACATGGAGGAGGCGTCCCGACAAAGTCAGCTCGACATCAAGGCCGCCAATGTCACGACCAGGCAGAGGCAGCTCAACATCGAGGCCACCAATGCCGCAACCAAATCAAAGGAGGTGGCCCTTGCGATCATGAGCGTGGAGTTGATCAATATGAGCGAGAAGACGTGGAGCTGGTTCGAGGCCAGGCAAAAGGAGATGTTCGACGCCGACGGCCTAAACTAGGTCGTCCGATCGGTCGTGGTCGTTCTTTTTTGGAGGTTGGCATGGGTGTCGGCCGCTGGTTGTGTGCCGGCGAGAAACACATTCATTTTGGAGGCTGGCTGTGTTGCCGGCGAGGACGTGTATGTTGCTGGCTCTGTTGCCGGCGTGATTTAGGGCCGCTGAGCTGAACCAGGGTGTGGTTTTTCGAAAGTTGTTTAAAAATAAAGGCGGACAGGATGAGGCCAAAGGATGCTGTCACGTGCTCAACACAGCCATCGTATTCCAGAATAGGTCCGGACATGGTCTCATTACCCTACCCAAATGAACCGAATCAGGGTAAGACGGTCGTTGGCGTCGTGCGCTGGAGTTGGCCTCGCGCGTGCACCAGACGGACCAGAGCTCGTCTGCATGCGCGGGCGCAGGATGCATTTACGCGAGCCACGTCGCCGGCGTCGGCCTGCCTTCACCCGGTCGCTTCCCGCTGTCACAAACTGGAGCTGGACGGCGCCGCGCCGATGGATGGTACAGCACGTAGTAGCAGTACAAATCAAAGAAAGCTAGTGGGCTGTGGGCCGGTGGGTACCCTACCTACATACTGGTATGTACCTGCAGCATATGTCGGCCCGGCCAAAAGAAATACCACGTGGTGGTCGTGGCGGTGGCATTGCTTGCCGTCCGTCCGGTCCGGCCACCGCGCCGCGGCACCGTGTCAGCGCGCGCACTGGCGCAGTCGCGGCGGCACCGCCTCGTGGTCGTCACTGTTTCCATGTCAGCTCAGCGCCTCGCCAAGTGCCATCGCGCGACGAGCGTACGCACTAGGTGCCACTGTGCGCGCCACAGGAGCTCCGGCCCGGTGGGCGCCCAAGCCTCACATGCGCGCGTGATGATGGGCCTTGTCCGGCGCAAGCGACAGCATCATGGGAAATCGTTTGATGGTGCTACGAGCGGTACTACGTACGATAAAATTTTGTCACTGTATGTAAATTTAATCAACTTGGCCGTAGATCATGGCACGTGGATGGGGTCGCCAGAGTGAGGCCCGTTTGATGGAGCATCAAGATTCGTGCGGGCACGAAGGTCCCGACATTCCCGTGTTTTGACAAGAGAGAACGAGTAGATCTATCGGCTCATTCACCAGTGCGGCCTACTGCTCCGATTGTGGATCTCGTTGTCGAACCGCACAGTGCAAGTACCAAACCGGGGCCTTCTATAAGTATATGCGCATGCGTGCAGGGAGAACTGACAATCTCTAGTACGCACAGGCGATATATATATGCCGCACATCGCATCAGGTCGGAGTGACGAGGACCGCACATGCATGTGCTCCTGCTGCTGCATCAAGTTCGCACGGGCTGGCAGGCCGGCCCTACGCAGCCACGACCAGCGGTCAAGCCAAGCAAAGCAAAGCC